ACAAAGATAATATCTTGTTATCAGCCGAGGAATATTTTCGAGCAACAATAGAAGATGAAGAGCAGCTGCTAACGGTGCAATTTTTTCTCCTTTTTTCAGATCTTCTCAACTTTTCTTAAAATTTTTGTCTTTCCCTCTCTCATCCCCTCTGAAAAGCTCTATCCTAATCTTAAAGATTTGTTGACTCTCTAAAATTTTTCTTCTTTTTGAAAACTCCTCCTAAATCTCTCGCTTGAGATTTTATATTGGGTTCATTTAGGGTTTTTACAAAACGCCAAAATCTTGAGTATTTTCTCTTTTTATGTTCAAAATTAATTTTTAATTTTGGGGTATAAACCTGTGTAATGCAAGTTGCTGTTCCGGGAAGCAAAATAAATTTTCATTTTGCTGTAAAACAATTTTATTTCATTTTATTTAATTTTTTTTTAATTTTGAAAGTAATATCTGGAAAGCAAAAATTGGTATTCACAATGTGTCTATTTATTTATTTGATAAAATTATTATAGGAACTTCACATGTTCAACAAATACTTTTAAAATTACAATAAAAATACAAAAATAATAATAAAAAACAAGTTAGTTAAATTTGTCAAGTCATTTATTAATTACTTCTTATTTACCGTATTCCTTCCATGTCAAACCAATTCTTTTAAAAGATTTTAAGTACTGTGTTGTAATACAACTCTCTTATCCTATGAGTTTTAGAAGGAGATAAAAAGAGTACAATTTATTTAAATTAGTTAATATGGTTGATAAATTTGTTATTGGTCAATCACATGTTAATTGTTTATTGTAAAATTTTCTATCTAAATATAAGATTGTATTTTCATAATATTACCCATGAATATCTTTTTGTATCACATAATATATTCTCTCTCAATTCTTCTGTTGCTATATTGCAACAACTATAACAATATAAATTTTACTAACTGTTGTCATTTGTCACCCAAACAATTACAATTTTTTTTAAATGTATTTTCTCTTGTAACTTCTACTTCTGAAATTTTGATTTTAAAATATTTACAAGTGCATCTTTAGTTAAAATATTTTAAGTGTATGAATTTATGATAGTATATAAGTAAAAGTTTCAGGAAAATAAATAAATATAATATTCATCTATAATTAAAAATAACACAATTCTTTTTTATGCATTTGTGACAGATTTTTATCAATTTATATTGAGGTATATATTTATTTCTAAATTTATTTTTTCATTCTAGAAAATAATGGAAATATCTAAGCTCAATTTAGAAAGAGAATTGAACTTAAAATTAAAATTAAAATATTACGAAAATGTATTTAAGCTGTGAAGTGTTAACACGTAGTTTAGCATCAAGCATGCTTGTTTTTCAAAAGAAAGACTAATTTTTATAAATTTATCATTAACAACATTGGAAACATAATTAGAAATATTATTTTTTTTATAGGCAAAATATATATTATTAGAGAAAGTTCGAGGGAAACTCAAAACCTATATACACAGAAAAAAATTACTAACTTGGAGAAATAAAAGTAAAAATATACTTATACAAAGCTAAGACGAATGCAATTTCGTGGGTTCAAATACCAATCAGCAAACGAAATAGCTTCTCCCTTACTAACAAGTGATAGCCATTTCCAGGACCTCAGAATAATAGAATCTAGAACTTCCCTCTCATACAAAACACCATTGGAAAATACAATTTTATTTCTATGTAACCACAAAGACCACACTGTACTTACTCAAACAATTAATAAGCATATCTCTTCTCTTTTACTATAGCCAACACCAATCCAAGAAAGCAAGTGAGTCGATATATCTGAAGGCAAAACTAGTGAGAATCCAAGCTAACGCGCAGTAAAGTACCAGATTTGAGATGAAACTAAACACGTTAAAAATAAATGAGTTGGAAGTTCCTCCAAACTATGACAGAAATAACAAGTTATATCATCAATTTAAACACCTCGATCAATCAGCAAACTCTTACAAGGAAGTGCATTCAGCAACAATTGCCAAGAAAATACCAGACACTTAAGAGGGACCTTTCCTCTCCATAGCCTTTGCAAGACATCTGCTGTATACTGATCTACACTATCAGGACCACCAAAAAGTTTAAATAGCCATGAATACGTAGATTATACTGAATAACAACCTGAAGAATTTGCCCTCCATACCCATTTATCTTTTTGTAGTAACTTAATAGAAACTCCATCCACAAACTCTAACAAAAGATTAAAGCTTGAGATCTCATGTTGAAAAAGTCCTCTTCGCCAACTAACATCCCAAACCCACCTAGTGCCATCATGAAAACCATTCTCCAATACATATGATTCAACATTCCTCGCCACCGCAAACAATCGCGGAAATGCTTCACACAATCGCACCCCGCCTACCCACTTATCTCTCCAAAAAAGAGTGTGTAAACTTGCACCCACACTCCTATCAAACTTCTCATCCAGCCAAGAATTTCCTTGATGAATAACCTCCATCAAATCATGCCACCACAAAGAACATCAGTTGTGGACTGATGGATGCTGAATAGAAGAAGCTAATCTTCCATATCTAGATTCCAACACCCGCACCCGCACCCACAATGAACTAGAACAATTAACACCTCGCCACAACCATTTACCAAGAAGCGCCTAGTTAAACCATTGCACATTCCTAATGCCAAAGCCACCATTCTTCCGCGATCTACATACCGTTTCCCATTTCACCCAGAGGATTTTAGATCCATCCTTAACACCCTTCCATAAAAAATTTCGTTGGATAGTGACAATCTCCTTTATCACCGACTTCGGCACCTTAAAAAAAGATAACGAGAGCAATGACATAGAATTAAGAACTGCATTAATCAAAGTCACCCTGCCTCCAATTGATAAATACCTATGCTTCCATGATGCTAACCTCTTTTTAAGGGCATCTAACACACCTTTCCATGCACTAGATTTTTTCGGGTTAATACCTAATTGTAACTCGAGATACTTTAATGAGAAACTACCAATCTTACAATGGAGGAACTCCGCAGCCATGTTTTCAAAATCATCACCAGTATTAATCCCCAATACACAACTTTTATGAAAGCTAATTTTCATACCTGACATTAATTCAAAGCTACGCAATAGTGCTTTCAAAGTCCACAATGTGTCATCCACAAACTGCAGCAAAGAAATATTCGGTCCCTCTATCCCAATCTTTACACCAGAGAACAACCTACACGCCACTGCCTTCCGCATAAGAACTCCTAACCCTTTCGCTGTCACAAGAAAAAGAAAAGGGACAAGAGGATCCCCTGTTTTAGGCCTCCCTCAATATGAACCTCAAATGTAGGATAACCATTAATCAAAGCTGATAGGCTACCCCCCACACACAAGCTTCCATCCAACTGACCCATTTTTCTGAAAATCCAAAGCTACGTAACATAAACAAAAGATATCCCCACTCGACTGAATCATAAGCCTTCTCATAATCAAGCTTTAACACAAAACATCTTTTGTTATACCTCCACACATAATCAACAGCTTCATTAGCCACAAGCACACTATCTAACATGTTCCTTCCCGGGATAAAGGCTGATTGTTCTTCTGAAATTATTGAATCCAAAACTCCCTTCAACCTATTTGCCAAAAGCTTGGAAACAATTTTATAAAGACAACTTAACAATGAGATAGGCCGAAAATCAGATATATGTTGTGGGTAAGACACTTTTGGCACAAGTGCTACAAAGTAAGATAACAAAGACCTAAGTAGTTTCCCATTTCTAAAAAATTCAGTAAGCATACCCATTACTTATTCCTTGATCACTCCCCAAAACCTCTTAAGGAACATAAAATTAAAACCATCAGGCTCTGATAATAAGAAATATTATATTTACGTTAAGTTCTTTAAAGGGGTGCGAAAATTCATATATAATTAATATTTGTAATTTTTTTATATAGTTTTGTGTAATGAGATCTTTGATTCTCTCTCTTTGCATCATTAAGGTCGGTGAAGATTCTAACATTGAGGAATCAAGTTCGAGATTCATCTAATTCTAACAAAGTTCTCTTATTTCTCTTTGATATTTTTTTTTTATGATTTTCTTTTCTTCTTTTAGTATTTTAGTCATGAGATTATAATATACTAGATTAATAAAATTTTCTTAACTTTCATATTATCATATTTTGTAGATTATCTTCTGTCAATAATAAAAAAAAATAGTAGTTGCTCCCATTTAATAAAGAAAAAAAAATAACATAATGTAAATAATAACATTATTATCTTCTAATGTTGATAAAATCTTATATAATAACTAAGAATCTAATCTATTTTAAATAGAATTTTTCTAAGATTATATTTCATAATAATTAGTATTTATTTATAATTTATTCTCCAAAAATTTTGGATGATTTTATAAAAATAATTTATCCCCTTGAAAACAAGACTTCTATTTTCTTTATTTTATAAAGGTAAAATTTATGGTTCCTAAATAAGTGAGAGGGTTTGGTACCCTGTCTTACATATGAAATAATTCTGACCATTAATTTTATATGGATAGATGATGAAATTAGTGGCTTAATTAAAAAAAAATGTTAATACCATCTTATCTTTAAATTACAACCGTCAATCTAAAGAGAGTATAGAATACTATATTAAATTTACGGGTACCACAACAAACACTTTTTTCAAAACACATATAAATAAGCTTTTATACTTGGGTTAAATAATCTAATCTCACTTGTTCATAATCTTATATACATAAGAATTACTTTTCTCACTTAAGTATTGAAGTTTTTGTTTAGCTACGTCTATCCATCATTCACCTCCATTCTAGATAAGTTATAGCAGCAAAATCATAAGATAGGAGTGTGAAATTCACTGAATAAATAATTTGATGACCATACGAAGATTTCAATGGAAAAAGACTAAGAGATAAAATAAAATAGCTTATAATTATTTGATATTTACCAATTAAATGTCCAAGCAACATTTTATTATTATGCAACAAACATTCATAAACAACAATAGCAAAATATAAGTTATTACCGTGGAAGAAATTCACTAAGAGACATCTCATTGATGGACAATGTTTTAGAACTATTGATAGATTGACTAGAACTTGATTCTTGTGTAATAGTTGTTGAATTCATTTTTTCTTGTAAGGAAAATGCAGGTTCCTCTGGCGTTGGCAATTCAATTGAGTAATTGTTGAGATACGAAACAATTGTTGTTATTGTTGGTCTAACATTTGGATGTTGTTGAACACATAATAAACCAATTTGAATGCACTTGATAACTTCAATTTCAGAAAAGCTTCTTTCGATATGTGGGTCCAATATGCTTACTGGTGATTGATGTGTCCATTCTCTCCAAACCTGTGATAATTGTCAAATTAAGCATCATAATTACTATAATGAAAAGAAACAATTTGTTAAAGGTTTATACTCACATAACTTAAGAGCGTATCCCCAATGCGTTGTAATTCATAAGAATTGACATTCTTTCTTCCTGTGATAATTTCTAAAATCATGACTCCAAAACTAAAAACATCTGATTTTTCTGAGAATTGTCCAAGCATTGCATATTCTGGAGACATATAACCTCTATAAAATAAAATTAAAGATATATCAATTAGCTAACAAATACAATATGAAGAAGTAGCAAATTAAAAGATAGGGAAGAATATTAAAACTTACAATGTTCCAACAATTCTGTTTGTACTTCCTCGATCTTGATTTATTTCAACAATTCTAGCAAGACCAAAGTCTGAGATTTTTGGAGTCATATTTTCATCTAATAAAATGTTACTAGGTTTTAGATCACGATGTATAACTTTGAGTCGAGAATATTCATGTAAATAAAGAATTCCTTGAGCAATTCCTCTTATAATTTTGTAACGCTCAAACCAACTTAATATCTTTTGTCGTTGAGAATCTACAAAATTGTTTAAGTAAGAAATATATGAGAAAAGTATGTTTGACAACTATTTAGTCAAAGTGATTCAAGTTTAAAGAATGCATGCATGCAAATATGCACGCACGGACAATGTATAATAAGAAGACTTATTTTTAATGTAAGAGTGAGAGATATAAATCTTGAGCATACAATTATATACATGATTAAGATTATAAGTCATTTAATGAACATATGACTATTTTAAAATGTCACGTAATTTGATATTTTAATCTTAACTATATATTTATGATTAAATTCAATAGTTAAGACTTACTCCTCTTACTCTCATAAAAAGGCGTCTTATTTGATACATTCCCTCTCATATAAATGTTAACTAATTAAGGAGTTTAAGGTGAAAAATGTCTAACCAAATAAGAAGTAATCAAGGCTCTTGTTCGGCACATACTCATAGATAAGTATTTTTTCTTGTTCATCTAGGCAAAAACCAATGAGGGCGACTAAATTTCTGTGTTGAAGCTTAGCAATCAATAAAGTTTCATTTTTGAACTCAATTACACCTTGCTTAGAAGTTCTTGAGAGTCTTTTCACTGCTATGTCTCGTCCATCAAGAAGAATACCCTACAAATCAAAATATTAATATATTATAAACTAAGAACAATATATATGTACATATAACAAGAACACATTGTTAATAACCTTGTAAACTTTTCCAAATCCACCTTTCCCTACGTAATTCTCATCTGAAAAATTATTTGTTGCTGCTTCAATTGTAGTCAAATCAAATTGCAGTGGCTCTAAGGTAGCACTTTCATGACCGACTAAATCAAATATAATGAAGCTGTTAATCTAAATTCTTAAACTTCCAATGTATTTTATTTAAAATATTTATTTACTTAAAAAAATTATAACACATACAATTTTCTCTGAGAATAGTTTTAAAACTCTTTCTTATTTTTCTCTTTAGCAAATAATAGCCAATAGAGAAAAGTATCGCCAGAATGACCATGGACACAACAATTATCAAGATAATTGTTCGTGACTTGCTATTTCCTTTTCCTGCAAATAAAATTAAATAAAATTATATATGTCGCACGGACTAATATTATATTCCGTTAGTTCCTTTTATTTGTCATTGTATTTAAAAAATTAATTTTTTATTTGTTACTTTAGAAGATTAAGAAAGTATTTACTATTTTTTTTATTATACCCTTACTCTTTAAAAATTATCAATAAATAGAAATTTTGATTTTAAAAATTAAAAATTAAAAATTATCTAAACTTGAATTTTAATTAATTTTCTTAAACCGTCTGAAATAACACTAAGTAACAAATAACAGAGAGTAGTTAACTCACGAAAAAAGTCATGATATAAACGATTCATTTCCTCCATGGATCATGAATTACTTTTATTGGCAATTGGTGACACGACACTGCAACTAGGCTAATTATTTATTGGAAAAATTTTTAAATTTATCCTTTAAGGTGGAATGATTAACGACATCAATGTAATAAATCACTCTAAGATACGTAATGATTATAAACTTTACAAATAAGTAAAGATGCACATTGTCTCTTTAATATTTAAGTCATGTTATACAAATTAATCATTAATATTGTAAATTTACAAACACCGTTAACTTTAGCAAAAATTAGTGCATGCAAGTAAAAAGTGCACTCAAAATTTTAAGGGAAACGTGCGTAAACCTAACTATATATTTAGTTTCTACGAAAAGTTCAGGGATATTTTTCGCTATTGTAATTTAATAAAATATTGATATGTGACAACTTTTTAATAAATTAAATTATCAGATTAAAAGTAAAAATTCATAAAAACATAAAAAATATTCAAAAGTAAAAAAAATAAATATGTATTAAAATATAAAATGAAAATATATTTAAATCATATTTCTAAAAGTTACGTTATCTATAAGAATGAAAATAGGTCAGGTAGTCCGACAGAGATCTACAGCCTAGCTTTTTTAAAGCCTAACTTGATTTAATCTATTTAATTAATAGGCCTAATTTAAGCTTTTTAAAAAGTCTAATTAATTAAATAGGCTAGGCTTGAACTTAATAATAAAAATAATAAAATCTTATATTAAAAATCTTAATCCTTGTTGTTAAAGTTGAATAAGATTTTTACTGCATACTTTCTCATAGTGTATTTAGATATAAGTCTTATGAATTTTAAAAAGATATACCTATTTAGATAGTTTAATAACATATTTACCAAGAAGCTTAATAACCTATTGAATGTATCAATACGAAGTAGGTCGTTAAACAGGCCAAGCTAGAATAAAGAAAAAGCCTATGACAAGTACTAGGCCAGACTCAAACTTTAAAATTATTAAATAGGTTAAGTCTATTTATGTAAAGTCTAACTTAACCTAACTTATTTCTATCCCTAGTTATACAATGGGTAAGTTTATCATTGAAATTTTTTTGTAGACACAAGTACCCAAACCCGAGACCTTGCTACTCATATCAACTTCTGTTATTCATAACATGTAATTTTAGTAAGGTATATAAGTTCTAAACTATATATACAATATTTTTTTTTTTTTGCTTAAATATAGTCTTAGTTATTATAATTAAGTTATTTTTTAATTATTTAATTTTTTTAGTTTAATTTTTATATTTTAATAAATTATTAATTTTAGTCTATTTAGTTGATATGATTTAAAAAAATTAACGTTTAACAGTATGTTAGTAAATTAAATCAGCGATAAAAACTAAAAAATATTTAAAAAAATAAGGACTAAAATAAAGAAAGATTATTTTAAAAAATAAAAATTTCTTTATACGAGGAAAAATATTTAAGTATATATTTTTACTTAAAATAAAGACAAAATGGTTACTTGAATCGTCTATACAGTTTCTATCAAAGTATTTTTTGAGGGAGACATCACCTGATGAAGGAGGACTACTTGGCATGATAGCTTCATCAACATCCTTGTAAAATTGGTCCAATTCAAACCTGAGATTGCAACTCGGATATAGAACTCTTCCACCAACACTTCCCAAATTAGACCATGGAATTGATGTTCCCATCAAATATCCCAAACAACTGTTGCAGTCATCATCTGACGAATCTTGGGTACATTGAGCAAGAGTATAAAGGGTTTGCAATTCATTAAGTTTTAATGATTTTGTGCCATATCTTTTATCACTATCCCCTGCCTCAATTGCCACTTTTGATAATGTATTGGATATTACATAAGTGAAGAAGCTTTGCTCCTCCTGGTTGGGGTTGGAGTCATTGGTTACATTTAACTCCGAAAATATAGGACTTTTCTCCACTTTGGAGAAGAAATTCCAATATGAAAAGCGAAGCAAGCAGTGACTGTACCAAATTATAGCCTCTTGGGAAGAGCTACACTCTAAAGTTATTCTTTGGGTAGCATTCTGAATACATTGTGCACAAAGTTGAGAGGAAAGGTCACCCCTACACATGTAGAGGCCAAACACTGTGTCAGCCACATCAGCCTTATGAAAATTCTTGCCACTTTTGGTTGCATTGGAAGACAGGTAAGAGAGAAGAGTGGGGAGGAGCATTTGGAAAGTGCTATTATTGACAGTGAAGGCTTTGTTTCTTGAGCAATTGTGAGAAAGATACAAAGGGTCATCTGAGAATTTTGAATCTGCATGGGAAGGTTTTGTTGCAAGAGCTAGCTTTGGTGATGATTGGGTTGAGAGATAAAAAGGGTACAATTCATACCTAACATTACAACTAGGGTATAGAACTCTGCCTCCTATCCTTCCTTCACAACATGATGGAAGTTCCTCTATCACTCCATTGAGACATGTTTTACATTCACTAGGTGATAAATCTGGAGTACATTGAGCAAGACAATAAAGGGTTTGAAATCTAGACACGTTTGCTTCTTTTGTGGCAAACTTTTTGTCACCAATGGGAGAATCAGATGCTTCATTTGCAGTTTGATTCATAGTAAAATATAATAAATGCATGAAGCTTTGTGGGTTTGAGACATTGGCAGGGTTCAACAAGGAAAAGCTAGGAGTAGTGGCCACAGTGGAAAAGAAAGAGGTTGTGGAATACCAAACCATGCACTCATCATACCAAAACACAGCTTCTTTGGACAAGGAGCATTCTGAGGATAGTCTTTGGGATGCATTTACCACACATTGTTGACAAAGCTGAGAGGGTATGTCACCCCTACACATGAACATGCCATAGATTGAATCATAGGGGTTTTCACCAGTGAATGTGGTGTTGTAGAATTGGGTGTCACCTGTAGCATTAGATGATAGGGAAGAAAGAAGGGTCTTGAGGTTTAATTGGAATGAAGAATTGGCTGTGGTTCTGTTGCTAGAGCAATATTGGTACAGATAAAATGGGTCATCTTGAGCCTCAATTGTTGCAAAATTTAGGAAGATAAGAAGAAGGATAAAGAATGAGAAAATCTTACAAGGAGTCATGGATTTGCTGCAGAGGCTGGTTACCTTTTGAGCACTGCTAGGGATGGATGGATATCAGTGTTGTATGTAATCATTTCCACAAACAGTTCCCATATTTAAACCGTTAAAAATTGCCATAGGCTCATGTTGGGGAGGTTTTCGTAGAAATATACGGATAAAATAAATAAATAATTTTGTCATAAATTAAAATTATTTTTTTATTTTTTTAAAATTAATTGACATCTTCATAGCATACAATATAAAAGGTAATTTTAATTTATGAAAAAAAATTATTTAATCTTTTTTCCCTTTTAGTACAAATGTTTCTGTAAAAACTTATTCAAATAACAATTGTATGACATATATTAAAAATATACTTTGAAATAGAAAGAGAATTGAGGTCTTCCACTAAGACAAAATTCTAAAGTGTTGTTTGCCATTGCTGTCGGGTGCAGCGTTCTTTCTTGAAGCTTTTAGATGAATTTGGTTTCGGTTTTCAATTCCACCATGTGATCAAGTCAAATAAAGTAAGTCAAGCAAAAAAAAAGGTTAAGGTCCTTGGATTTCGAGGAATCTTTTTTACTTTTATTTTTTTAATCATAAAAATGTTATTTTATTTATATTTTATATTAGTGATGCTATGATATTGTAATTTTAATTTTAGAAGGATATATATTCTTTCTAAATTAATAATTATAAATTTTCTAATATTTTAAAGATTAAAAAATATTTATAATTTTTAAATAAAATATTAAATTTCATTATTTATTAATTTAAAATTAATAGTGGTAATTATTTAATAAAAAATATAAAATGTTTCGTTAATTTATAAAATACCATAGAGATTATATTTTTTATTTTATATTTAAAAATTTGCGTAAATAAAATTTTATTTTAACTAGCTTTGTACAAACCTTTAAAAAATAAAATTAAGTAAATATAAAATTATACGTGACTAATTTTTTTATTAATTTTTATAAAAAATGAATTATAAAAATATAAAGGATGTAATATGATAAATTAAATAAATAATATGTGTTAATTTGATATTAATAGTATTTGGATGTTTAAAAATAAAAATAATTTTAAATATAAATAGTTTGGTTTCTAAATTTATATTTATAAAAAAATTTAATTATGTTTTTAGTACTGTAAATGTAGGATATTTTATGATAAATTTTTATAAAATTTTTTATTAGGATGTAGTCTTAGAAAGTTAGAATGGATAATTATTTTTTAAAATGGATAATAATTATTTTTATTGTTTCATCTTAAAACACTCTCTTTAGTTGGAGTAGTGATGGGACATATAAGCGTGTAGTTGGGGGCGAAAAAAATCGGAAGACGACTTCTAATTTCTTTGAAGATTTGCCGCTTTAAAAATGCAAAAAGAAAACAAAACATACTAATTTAATTTTATTTATTAAATAAAAAGTAAAAAAATTAATCTTTTAAAGTAATTTTGGTTGCACTTTCAAAGTAAATCACTCAAGATCGATTTATTTTAAAAAAATATAAATCTCGTGTAAGCAGAGCAGCAAATAGCATCTATAAAGTAGTTGATGCTATCTGAATAATAATTATTTTTCAAAAGAAATAAATTTGTTTAATTAAAAGAAGTAAATTCCTTTTTTTATATATTTAATATAAATAGATTCACTGAAACTAAATACGTGACAATACTCTAAAATTTACAAGTTGTTTTAATAATTTTAAATTCATTAAATAAAAGTATTTATTTAATTTATATTAATTATCTAATATTTTTATATTATTAATTATTTAAATTTTAATTAGAATTTAATTTTTAAAATAAATTATGTATTTAGTTAGTAAAAATTCATTTGATTTTGATTTTTAAAATGAAAAAATCAGAGAAAAATATTTGGAAAATTTATTGAAAAATTAATGTTGCTTAGAAAATTATTTTATTTCTTTTACATAATGTTTGTATTTTTTTATTTAATTTTTTATGGTAAATAAGTATTATGAAAAAAATAAACATGAGTTTTGCTAAATTTCTTCCACTACAAAATTATATGCCGTATTTCTTAATTTTTAAAATTTTTACTGAAATTGCATGTGTTACTTTTTCTTATATTTACTTTACAAATTGATGTCAAATAATTTTTTTAGGTACTAAATAAATATTATAATATTTTCAATTAAAATTTCACATTTTATGAAATATATTTAAATAATTAATAATATAAAATATTAGATAAGTAATACAATTTAATAATTAAGTTATTTTAAATAGAAGATGAAATTGTGTGTAAAAATATCTAATATTAATAAAATAATCTTTGAAATTATAGAGTATTATCTTTAATAATTAGTTTTTAAAAATATATACATGATTTATTTTCTATTTCATCTCTTCACATTGGAAGTCAAATCTTCGTAGTACACTTCAATGCAAAGAAGTTACAGAACATGTGGGTGCCAGTAAAGCCCAAAAAGACAAAACTATCCAATTAGACCTTGTAATATAAAATTATATTGTGTTTTAGTTTAAATTAAAATTTAAAAGTTAATTCAATCTAATTATAGAAAATTATTTTAAATTGAATTAGATAGTTCATTTTTTATAATTTTATTTTAATTAAGTTGGACATTACTAATAAATTATTTTATTATTTTTATATAATTTTTAATTTAAATTAATTTTTATGTATAAATTTTATAGAAAAAAGTTATGATACATATGAATAATTTTTAAATTAGTATAAAATAAAATTATAACATAAAAATAATCAAATGAATCCTTAAAGTACAACTTGAAAGAAAAAAATAAATATTGTAATTTTAAAAATACGTTATTGTGTGATATATATATATATATATATATATATATATGAAAAGTAATGTTATAAATCAAATTAACAATATTACAATAATAATTAATAGTATTTGAAAAAAAATATTAACTTTTAAATCCATCTACCTTTCTTTACATATAACTAAACATGGTTTGGGTTTCTAAAGATAAGATGCAATTGAGGTAAAAAAATAAAGAGTAAGGTAGATAAAAAGTGATACAAAGTTAAGAAATGGTTTATTTTCAGAAAATATTGTTAATTTTAATTATAATATTGACATTATTTTTAAAAAAAAATTTCAATACTTGTATAAGAAATGATAAAACAATTTTTTATTCTTTCTATTTATTATATACATTTTTAAAATAAAAAATAGAAAAACATTGACAGATTTATACTATAAATGAAAATGTAAAAAAAAATTATAAAATCAATTAGTGCGCAAAACATAATAACAATTTAAACGAGAAATATTATTTGTATAATTAAATTGTATAATTATTTTAATCTATAAATTAAAGAACAATTAAAGAGTTATTAATGTGTGATAAACTTGAATACCGATTTTATTACGTAAATTATTAAGATAAACTTTTAATTTAAATTAAAAAATAACATTAATAATACTTCTAAGTTTTCTTCTGATACGAAATCATACCTCAACTTGTGCACTTTAATATTACTTATTTTGGTCGGACAAATTCATTAAAAACACTATATCCCTCTTGTTTTCATTCTATAATAATAGCAAATACCTTAAAGTAATGATAGGTTAAAAAACAAATGCCAAAAAAAAAAAAGCCAGTCCCACAACAAGGAAGCCCACCCAATATATTGAGACCCGACCCAAGCTATGCCAAAAGCACAAGGTGTGATAGACTTTTATGTTGTTGTAATTGTGCAAATAACTCTCTTATTTTCTTTAACTTTGATTTATAAATATTTCATTTGTGTCATCACCCTTAATATATGTTTCGTTTCTTTTAATTTAATTTCTTTTTAACATTCACATCGTTCATCATGCATATTTTTTTAATTTTTTATCACATCAAGTCTTTCATCACATTTATTATTTCTCTATTCTTTTTCTATATCTTTGTGGATGTAAATGCCTTTTAGATGTCTACCAAAGATTTTCTCATTTCTTTGCTCAAAGTCAATTAGTCCCAATTTTTAATGATGAGTAATATAATTGGTCATGAGAAACACAGATATCGCACATAATCCAAAATTTTAAGATTGTTGACTTATGAGTACTTCTGAACTTTTTATTTCTACTCAACTCAACGTTAAACTTTTTCTAATGGATACTTAATCTCAACAATAATTACGTATTCAAGATGGTTGTCGAGTTTGCCCGCAAATAAATGATGTGATCCATCTCTTTACCCAAAATTGCTTTTTCAGTTTTCTAGGGAATAGATTTGTGTCATGAAATTATTTGCTTGTTTTGGAAGTTTGTCAAAGTAGAATATCGTCAAGGATTAACCTAGATAGTGAAGAAATTGTTGACTGTTATCTAGGATAATGACGTGATATATATTGCTTGCATGTTGATGATAACACTTTGAAACACATCATTTAATATATTTGTTTGATTTATTTATTTTTAAGAATTAAAATAATTTAAAAAAAAGACTAATTAAAAATAATATATTTTAAAATTATATTTGAAAAACGTATTATTAATAATATTTTTAAGTAAACATTAGATGGAGCATACACACAGCAAAGGAACTGGGAGGTCTGATACAAATATATTTCAGGCCTCTTTAATTTCACAATTGTTCTACTTTAAGTCTCTTGTTCCTAAATTTCATCCATTGATAAATAAAAATATAACAAGATATACCAAATGTAACAAAGGTGTGATACAAATAAAAAAGCTTTTTATCATTACCTAGTATACATGTTACTTGTTTATTTAAATTTATTTAAATATTTCATATAATTTCTTTAAGAAGCTGTATAAATCAATAATATATTATACTTTTATTACATGTTTATTAATTATTGAGTGAGATTTTGATCCAAGATAATTAATTTTAATAATTGAGAAGGTAAAGGAACAAAAAATAATAATTACAACTAATGAAATCAAACTCACCTGAACAAAAAAGTATTAAATTATCTTTTCGAATATATATATATATATATATATATATATATATATATATATATATATATATATATATATAT